AGAGTCCTGATCCCCATAACCAAGATGGGGTCTCACCGCAAACAGGGATATTACAGATGTAATGAGTCAGGTTCACACTGGAGTAGGGCTGGCTCTTCATCTAGTGTGCCTGGTATCAAGGAGGGAGATATAGAGAAGCTGGCCAAGTAAGGACACACACATAGGGACAACTGACGGGGGTGGGGGGTGCCTGCAGAGGCAGAGCCTGGAGCCAGGTTACCAAGGACCACACAAGCCAAAAGAAAGGCAAGGGATTTTCTGTCCCACAGCCTCAATGGACTGTCCCTGCTCCCACCATGATTTTGAACTTCTGGCCTCCAGAAGGGAGAGTCGATCTCGGTTACTTTAAGCCACCTAGCTGGTGGCACTCAGTGATGGTACCTTAGGAAATGGAACAAAATTCCATTTACATGAGATTCTAGAGCAGGCAAAATTCCATGGTGGAAAAACCCAACAGGCAAAACTCATTCATGGTGGAAAAAACCAAAACCAGTGTTGACTCTTGGTGGGTGGGGTAAGGACCAAGTGAAAGAGACAGAGCCAGCCTGCAGGGTGATCTGCACTCTGATAGGACTGGTGTGACAGAGTTCTACAGAACTCAGTCAAGGCGCAGGGAACATCTGTGCATTCCGTAGATGTCAACTCTGTACCAGAAGACTGCAGGCTGAGGCTACGGCCCAGGCACTCGCCCAGCATGCTTAACCACCGACAAGTTCAATTATGTGAGTACGGGGTGACCAAAAGTTGCGTATTTTTCCATTAATTTTTGTAAGATAATACAATAATCGACTAGTTGCCAGGCGTGGCAGTGCATGCCTGTAATCTCAGCACCCAGGAGGAGTTTGAGGCCAGCCTAAACTGCATAGTGAAACCCTGTCTCAGACCAAAAACAAAAACAAAACAAAAAAACCCCAACTGGCTGAAATGACACCTGCCCAAGTGATGCTTGAGATAGCGCGCTGCCCCAGCACTGCCCCAGGGATGCGTGGAGTAAACCGTTAAGAGGTTAAGGCCCTGGGTTCAAGCCCTGGACACCAAAAAAGTCCTAAACAAATACTGGTCCCTATTTAATAATATGTATACTTACACATTTAGAGGGGAGTGAGGTAATGAGAAAATGACACAAACTGGTGATATGTGACACAGAAGTCCAGCAAAACGTTAATCACCACATATGTGTATGATGTGACTATTCACTGTAAAATTCTTTCACCTTCTCTGTATGCTTAAAATTTTCATAGTGAAAGGCCTGGCCTGGTAGCACACACCTGTAATCAGCACTCAGGAGGCTGAGGCAGGAGGATCACCATGAGCCATGAGTTCGAGACCAGCCTGGGTTACATACTGAGACCATGCCTCAAAAACAAAACAAAACAAAAATGAAAATAGCAATCCTCCTGCCTCAGCCTCCCAAATTCTGGGAATACAGGCATGCAGCACCATGCCAACCAGAAACCATGTGCCACCACACCAATCAGGAACTGACTCTGCATTCTCTTCTGCAAGTCAAGCATCAGTAACATTCACGTGAAAAAAAAAAAAAAAAAGGAGGAAGATCAACTTCCAGAACTGGAGTGATCCACAGATTTATTCTCCAATGAAACCTCCCCTAGCTAAGGAAAGCTATAAAATCAGCCAGATACAGGGGTGGGGGCACCTGCCTGGCAAGAGCGAAGTCCTAAATTCCATTACTGGTACAAAAAAGAAAAACAAAACACACAGAAAAATCTCAACCAAATATAGTCCCTGAAAATTGTTGATTCATTCATTCATTTACTTATGAAACAGGGTTATCACTATGTAACCCAGACTGGCCTCCAACTTGCAGCAATCCTGCCTCAGCCTCCTGTGTGCTGTGATTACAGGTGTGCCACTATGCCCGGCATCAATACATAAAATTAGCCATCTTAACTAGAATTTTA